GCATGACTACTGTCTCCAACCACCAGTCAGAGAAGAACAGACACAGAGGAGGGAAACAGCGACACTGACAGAGGTACAGTAAAAGAAATAAAAGTCAATAAGCAGGGTTTGTACATTTTATTATCAGCTGAGCTGTGATGAAAAAAAAAATACTGTCAAATACCATGAAACTGGTGAAAATGTTGAAAATACCGTGATATAAAATTTTGATCATATCGCCCAACTCTAATTTTTACTATATATTGCAATAATTTACTCTGTATTTTGCCAGACTGGTAATCCTGATGTCGTAATGATGGGGCCCTTGAATATTGTTGCCCAGGGTACAGGGAAGTGTTAATCCGGCCCTGCTAGTGTGAAGAAGGGGTGGACAAATCTGCTCTGTGAACAAAATGACACAATTTTGGTCACGCAACTACAAGAACGAGAGACGATTTTACGGCTTCAGGTGAAATACGCAAAGCCCGTAATGAATTCTTTGTCTGGTTGTGCACATATTTCTCTCTTTTACACCTCTAGTTGCAAAATGTTTTAAATGTATCCTTGCCATCTGCTGTATCAGAGACCTGTTATTACTCAGAAGCACTCTATAGCTGGTACACTAAGTTTTAAACATAATGTGTCTATTAACTGAACTTATTTGACCACCTGTGTCCAGGCAGCAAATATGAAAGTGAAATTAAACTATGATAATTACCTTGTGTGCAAGGTGTTGCTTTTAGGTTTTTTTAAGTGTCCTTAAATGATGGAAGACTTGATGATTTCAGCTAATGGAACTTGATCACTAAACTCTGAGCTTAAGTGAGAAAGTGTGACATTTTAAAAGATGGAGTACTCTTTCAGGGAGGTAAAAGATTTTGCCACAGTATGACAGACTACTGTATAACTGTTGAGGCCTCACTGTCCAGACAAAACTAATCAATCTTTGGATTATTTATGTGTCCTCTTGTGCATTCATAATGAACTAATTCATTCAGCATGCTCAGTAAAGAATCACATGTAACCAGTAACTGATGCCACTTGACTGGTGGGTTTATGTATCACATTGATTGTCTGCATCTGAATGAAACTACAGACAAACGTCCAAGAACGACGAAAGTTCTGAGAAAGTATGAAAGAAAGAAAGAAATATAGGTGCAGAGTAAATGAGATGGTAATGATGACAATGAAAAATCCTCGGTACATAAACAGAGGATCTGACAGTAAATATGGGAAGTCATGCCCAATTTTTATTGGTGGAACAAATATTAAAAAAAGAAGATTTAACAGCCATTAACTAGAATCAGGTGTGAGTGGAAAACAGAAACAGGGTCTGCTGAAACAAAACAAGCAACAGGTTAACTAAAAAAAATAAATTAAATTAAATTAAATGCCTCTCAGCAAGAAGGTCACCGGTTCAAATCCCGGTCCGGGGACCTTTCTGGGTAGAGTTTGCATGTTCTCTCCGTGCATGCGTGGGTTCCCTCCGGGTACTCCGGCTTCCTCTCACAGACCAAAAACGTGACTGTTAGGTTAATTGATAACTCTAAATTGTCCCTAGGTGTGAGTGAGAGAGTGAATGTTTGTTTGTCTCGTTTGTCTCTATGTGTGGC